TGATGAAAAGTTAATTTGCAGTTGTGTGGTTGGTAGTGTTCATAGTCAAATGGTTTGAAAATACATGTTAAGTACTAGTATATTCCAGTCAGTGAAGTGTGCCATCATCTCTGGGAGCCTTAAAATTAACTATGTTAATAATTTGAATAACTGGGATTTGGCTTCATATGATTATGTCCCAATTTATTTCCATAAATTTACATTTGTCTAAATAGCAGGCTCTCACTACCCCCATTCGGCAATTCTCCAAAGGTGAACAACAAAAAAATACTCATACATAGTAGATGAGAATTTTATGACAAAACTGTGACTTGAAATACAAAACACTAAACTGGTAAAAACAAAAATGTTAATATTAATAAGTTTTCCTACCTTGATTGAAGTAAGCACCAATGTATTGATACTCATAGCTCTAGCAAATCCAAAATCACAGAGCTTAACAACACCTCCTTTGCCGAGTAAGATGTTCTGTGGTTTCATATCTCTGTGCAGTATCCTGTGTGAATGCAGATAAAACAACGCAGACACCAAATGACAGGCTATGGTCTGTACCTACATGGTAAAACAAATGATGGATTGTATAAGTGGTTGTTATTTTAGAAAGTTAACATCACATATCAGCGGATGGGCATACAATACAACTACATGTACATGTACTACACTTGAATACACAAGTATGTGCGCAAAGACATTAGAACTTTCTATGGTTATTTAGCTTATGTACTTATGAAATGACAGCGGCATATCTAAGGTTAAATATTACGGTATACTATACTGTAAAGGGGGTAATTATTCACTGGGTTTTAATTTAGCTTATTTCGCTGACTGAAAAATGCGCTAAATTAAAACCCAGTGAATATGTACAATTTAGCATAGAACACATTATCTAAATCACGAAACCGTGAATTTAAAACCCACTGAATATGCCTGAAATGGTAAATCAGTGAAATTTAAACCCAGTGAAAATTAGTCATTTTACAGTATTACATATTAATTATCATTTAATGTAACCTACTCATCACAGTATTTACTCTATTAGAAGAACATCTCCTACAGAAGTACACATAAAACAAAATTTCATTTATTGTATGCCGGATCATTAAAATATGACTTATTTTGACGAATAGACACATGTCATCTACAAAGGCATGTACACTACTAATGTAGGAAATACAATATTGTATTTTCTGTAAACAGGAATTTATTAAATTAATTCAAAGTTTAAAACAATGGCTTAGTATATATGTACAATGGATGCTATCAAACACATATCCCAATGTGGAATTCACTCACTTGATCTTCTGGTAAGTTTCCATCATCTTCCAAGATCTGAAATAATTCCCCTTCAGCGTAATCAGTGACAGCAACAACCTGAAATATAGGAATAATGCATTTTACATCCAAGAAATATACTAAGTAAAAACTACAAGAATACGTAATATCCAGTATGAAGTTACATGCTCCCTTCATAAAGAGTAAACCCACATGGGGAAGAAAATACTGTGTTGCATTTATGTGAAGGAAGTTGAAGCAAGTTTATCAGGTATCAAGATTTTAACAGAGATGACAAACACAACTCAAGTCTGATGAATATACTTTTATTCATAATTTTATTATGGAACAAATGCCACTGAAATTTAGATGCTACCGTAGTTGTCTGTGTATAAATCCCTCCAGGAAAACGGCAAATTGACAAAGAATTAGGGGGGGCTTATAAACGAATAAAAGTTTAAACTTCTCCGAGCGATAATTTATGCTAATTTATTCATAAACAAATCGTTGTGTGTACGATACTGGGGTTTCTAGTCACTCTTGGGTGTGTTTACTAAGTGGAACAGCATTCGACCCTGCGTTTCACGTGAATATTGGTCTGTACGTTTTGGGGTAACGAAAGTATATTCTAACCAACACAACTGCATTGCGTAGCAGCAAATGATCATGGTTGCGCAATCAGGTCATGCTGTGTTTCACAATTGTTGATTGTAGTGATTATAATAACATACAAAAAAATAAATTTGTTGAATTGTTATGAAATCCAAATAAAATTCAACTTAGTTTCATCGTAAGCAAATGATTCCGGTCGCATATGAATGCTCGATGCTGTTGGGTATCCACCATGTTCTTTCTCTTGCACGAGTTGACCAATCAAAATGCTGGATGATGCCAACGTGTTCAAATTACCATAGCTCGTTTAAATATGACTGATTTTCAATCCCAAAGTTTGACCAACCCATTTAAATAAGTCAACATGATACAGTTCCCATCATGAAAAAAAACGACATTTAACTGATCTAATCATCTACTTTACTTGGGTAATCTTAACATAATCATAAATAGTGCAATCCAGAAAACATTTGTATACTGATTTAACTGTAATCAATAATATCAGAATGATATGATGTGTTTAAATTTGGCAAAAGGATTGGACGGAATAAATTTTCCTATGTGGGAATCAAAACCTGATGTGTTTTAATTCAGAAAAAATTACAATTTTACTCACGCCAACGCTCAGTGCGACACCACGATTACACTTAAGTTTCTATGATTTAAACACAAAACCAATGTTCACTAGTTCTAGTTTCCTGACGAAATGCAAACTAGTGCTTTACAACACTATTCAATACTGCTGGGCCATCAGACGTTACCTTGGGTGTAGACTGACCCAGCATGCAGGATTATTGTTTTATATAATAAGTCATTTGAAGAATGAATTCGTTATTGCTGCTGTTGTTTTGTGACAGATTCATTCTTAGTTAACAAGTCATTGTCAATGACACGTCCCCGTTCCGTTCATATTTGAGTGACATATACATTCAAAGCAGATCATGACCAAAATGCACCTGCATATGTACAACACATTGTACTAAATCTGAACAAAATCCATCCATGCATGACTGAGATCCGGTTCCGGAATTGTGAAAATACGTGATTTTGATGCATTTTCGGCCTTAAAATGGCCATCATTCAGCTATTGTTATGCGGATCATGAAACGAACGCACATATCTATTTGTGACATGATGTACCTTGTGTGTGTGAAGTTTGAACTTGATCAATCCAGACATGTCTCGGATACGGATCCAGAACTGAATTCTTTAAAACAAAATGGCCGCCAGTCGGCCATTTCGAACTTGATCCGAAAAAAAAAATAACGTGCATCAAGGTCCTATTATGTTTAATGTATGTACCAAATTTGAACGAAATCCGTCCATGCATAACTGAGATCCAGGTCCGGAATGGTGAAAATGTGCGATTTCAATGCATTTTCGGCCTTAAAGCGGCCGCCATTTGGCTATCGTTAATGAAATCATGAAACAAATGCACATACATATTTGTGACATGATGTACCTTGTGTGTGTGTGAAGTTGGAACTCGATCAATCCAAGCATGTCTCAGATACGGATCCAGAACAGAATTCTTTAAAACAAAATGGCCGCCAGTCGGCCATTTCAAACTTGATCCAAAAAAAAAAATGACGTGCATCAAGGTCCTATTATGTTTAATGTATGTA